GGGGAACGGAGTCCCTGTCGCGGACCCCGACTGGGAACGCGGGGAGCGTTCTCCCTGCGCAACTTGCTCTCCGACTTTTTTGCGGTTACCCCTCCCCGCTTCCCGAATTTTTTCTCGGGAACACCCCTTGTCCACTTTCGCTCCCCGATGAGGAGGACAAGCTCTCTGTCCTCCCCGTGGGGAAGGGCGGGCAGCGCGAACAATCCATTGAAAATAGCGAAATACCGCTGTAATACTTCAAGTATTGTCTTGTTGTTCGTTTCGAAATGTGAGTATAAGGTGTTAGACTCTGTCCGTGGCTCAAACTCTGTCTGATTAGAGCAATTTTGTTGTCTAAATTCTTGAAATAGCTGAATTTAGAATGCCCAATATAGAAGTTTTGGTTCGGCTGTCATTTGAAAAAGAATCAAATATTGCTGAGGGGGAATAAACGATGGCAAATGACATTTTTAAAGGATATGATTGTAGAGATCGAAAAACTTATTAAAAACAATGGTTTCTCAAGTTTCCAACCTGTCATTCATTTGAAAATTCATTATTTTGCACTCATATCAGCTGAGTTATTGACCAACTGATTTTGAGTTACTTCGATATCAAAAGTTTAAATTTATTATCCAAGAAATCATTACAATTACTAAATCCGTCTGCTTATCAAACAGTTCGACAATTCTCACTTCGTTCAATATTGGTGATGTTTTCGATAGTTATTGTTAAGGTATTGGATTATTGGGGGCGTGAGTCACTGTGAAGGTGATACGATATTGGAGATAATGAGATAGGATAAAACTGATAAGATAAAGGTGTAAATAAAATAAAACTAATTTATTGTGAGGTTTTTGAACGGTAGCAACATGTTATTTAAAGCTGTAGTCGTGAGCGCACTATCATTGATAAATGATTTCATTTCACTCCCAAAGGTGTATATTGTGGGAAAATTCTATTTAAAAAGCTGAAATGGAATTTTCAAAAAAAGTTCTGAAAAAAATAAGAAAAATCTTTTGAAAATTGAAATTCTATCAAAAAATTGAACTGAAATGCTCCCCGTCGAGGAATACGGGGAGCGGTCATTCCTTGACGAGTTCCCCCCGCGTTATTTGCTCCCCGACTTTTTCGCGGGGACCCCTCCCCGTCCAATTTTCTCCCCGCAGGGATTCCCCCGTCCGAAAAACTGCTCTCCGACGAACACTAGTTGTAATTGTATTGTTTTGAAAATGTTTTTGAAACAGTTTGATGAAAGTTTTTGTAGAGCATATTTGTTTATCGCGGTACATATCAGCAGTTTCCATTAAAAGAAGCCCATTTCATAGGTGCGGTTCGTGCTCTTCACTCGGAGATTGCGCATTCGCAGAAGGAGATGGTGAGTACNCATGTGTTTGTGCACCCATAATCAGAATGTGCGTACGTATTGAAGAACCGCTCCATCCGAATGATACTATCGTAGTCCAAAATGTGACTGCAGCTGATAGTGGAGGTTTACAACTTGAGGGTCGCATTATCAAAATTTGGGAAATTTCGACCACAACTGAACCGCCCCCTTTGGTCAGAGAGCAGCAGCAAAAAGAAAAAGCTTTCGGATTCCAAGTTTGTTTGCATAATTCATTGTTGATTTTTCAACTTTCTTCCATGGAGAAAATGGAATCGTTAATAAACTCATACGTAATATGAGCCTTGTGATGAGAAGTAAAATTGAAATGACCAAAAAGTGCTAAGTTGAATTTTGATAGATCATAAACAACGTATTTTAAGTATTCTTAGCATCGTTATCATTGCCCAATGATAATAATTGAATTTTTAATGTCATTAACTCGAACACATCGATAAAGTATTCAAGCCTTTACAATCAACTGAACATACTTAACACACCAAAAATATTTCTTGTTGAACCATTCTGTCGATTATAACTCATTTCAATGAGCTGCCTCTCAGCCCTAAAGCAAGCATCATGAAACTATAACTTACTGATTCATCGTTTACTAATTCATCGTTTCTTTCTGGGTGCAATTTTCCGGTTTAGTACCATCAAATTGTTAATTGCTTTCGATTGCTGACGATTACAGACCTATTGGATTAGTTGCCGTATCACATCTCCATATAGACTGTTGAGTAATGCGTGTAAATCATAAGAACCGATGAAAAAATCATTTGCGAATTAAGTGGAACGTTCAGTTTTGAACTATGTATAGAGCTGAGTGTAAAGCGAGACCGAAAAGGCTCATTTAAGTGGAATTAGTGCTACTCCAGATACACTGCATGATAAAATTTGGCCAGCATGCTGCAAGGAAGCTATAAGAGAAGAGCACATGCGAATGCGTAAGTTCGGAGATTTGTGTATTGATTGTATCACTTAAACATACCTTACTAGTCAAATTATTAATTCAAACGACAATATCCTACCATTACAACTTATTTTAAAGAATGGCTTTTAGGGAGTGAGCGATCCAATCGCCATAAAAGCGAAAGCATCAGAAAATTTGATATTTGCTGTCAATAACCTCAATGATTCTGACAAAAGCTCACTCTCTTATTCAAAACGTGAATTTATAACGAAGTGCTCATTTAATGGTCGACAATGCTCCGTTGAAGAGTTCGTGAATATATTTATAACCGTTTGAAATGGTTAAGTATTCAGTCCAACTAGTAGCGTTCGGAATTTGGATCAATCTCCCACCGAGCTATAGTCCCCCGTGAAGGCATGAATCGTCGCGGGGAATCCGTTCACTGAGTCCCCGTTCTCCGAAAATCCCCCGCAATCGCAGGGAACCTGTGAAACGCAGATAAGTGAATTAACGGTATTATGTGACAGCAATAATGATAAAAGTGTAGAATGAATATTGCACCTACAATAATGACCATCAAAAATCAATTCTGAGTTTGTAAACCACACAATAAGCACTGGTCTGCCTATCCAGTTTACGATTCACTGCACATCAATTAATTCAATTCCACAGAATACTCCAAGCCGTAGGTCGCGATGATACAATGATCAGATTTTTCACCCTCCTCCGACGAAAAATCTAAGCCTTCATCGCTGCAAACCGCGTCTTGAAGTAGTCTGTATTACTACTTTCGAAACAACGTTTCAATAATGTTCATTGAATGAATTGTATTCCTCGAAATATAATACATCAAAGAGTAGCGGCCCCGTGGAAGTTTTATATTCATGGGGCATTCCGCTCATCGAATCTCCCTCTGCGGGTGGGGTGCACACGCTATTCTCCGTACTGGATTGGGAGATGATTCATGAGAAATTACCATGGGGTGGCTTCCTTACGAACGCTATTCCGTAAATCAAATTTTGTGAAATTTTTTGAATCACTGAAAAAACACGACGGTGAATACTAATTGACAGTTTCAAATGATCACATGGAATTTTGGATTCGACCATAATGTGTTGAATTAATTCAATGCATAGAATATTGCAACACTGATATCAGCAAATATTTAATGAATATCCAAGGATATGGTTTCTTAAACCATTATCAAGAGCTAAAAGTCCTAAACGAATGAAAAAATTCCATTGATGTTTTTCTAATTCTTCAGTGATTTTTCGTCATATATTGATCCATCATTTGGCAACTGTTTCACATTCAATTACAATTCCACCGAGAATATGACCAGTGAACGTGCAGGACCAGCGTATGGTAAGATGTTTTTAGATTGATGTATCAATTACGCTTTTAGTGATCAGGCCTTCGTTTTCAGGTCTTTGTTAACGTCTCTGATTACTTACCAACTACCGAGGCTGCTGGTGTGCGTTTAACCGTACACAGCCCTGATGAACAACCATTTCCAGATACGCATGGTCACAGTGCACCGACCGGATTTGTCTCTTCTTTTGGTATTCGTCTTGTGAGTTCATCTCATCAATATATAACTTTTCTGACAGTGCATTCATTTTTTTTNGGGCAGCTGTCGGACACCGTTTCGTGTGCTGCTATAGCCTCATCAGCGAACTTTGCGAATTTTTAAGTTTAACTTTTCGGAATGCTGTGGTTGCGTTATATAATAGTTTGGTGCTGCTGCATGCCGTCGTTGGGAGGATGTCTGCTCTACAACGGCTCAACTAGGATAAGTTGTGGTCAGTGGGGTTGCAGGTTGCAAATGTTTCATTTTGAGAGAGGGAACGCAAAACGGTGTGAAATGCACTTGCTCGATGTGTACAAAGAAGCTTTCTATAAAACAGTCATCACCGAATGGTCTTTTCGACCACTTACGTATGGTCCATGCTAACAACGCGATTTTGCCGGAGAAAAAAATGAAAATGATGCGATAACAATTCGAAAATTGACGACTTTTATTATTATAAGCACGAAATGTTTTTGGTTATTGTATGGATAATTGAGTCTAAACTTTCAGTGATAAACATAGATAAGGAGAAGAAGAAACTTACGTATAAGTCGTCATTCCAGAATGTTGTTTATTTATTTTCGCCGAAGGCTATGCATTGTTTCTTTTTCGTGTGATTTAATGAAATACTATTATTGAATCGCACTATGACTTTACGATTATTTTTGTTTAATCCTACAAACTGCTTCCTTTCGCTGCTTTTCCAACACGTATTCCTGTTTTTAAGTTTCCACTGACTCCGGAAATGAGATGGAGTTTTTTGCTCATAGTTCACCGTTCTAGATTTTTTCAAAGTGATCACATTTTCGGGGTCTACGACTGCAAATTTCGTCACTGCTTTCCCGTCCCCGACTTTTTTCTTACTTGCAACACACTAGTTGAGATAGCCGATAAAATGGTATAGAGTTGGAATGAGTTATGTTCGTTTCAAAAGCTTAATGCTAATGAGTTGTGCAACTATCATGGCTTTGAATCCGTACCAAACGTTTCAAAGCAATGCATTCTTAATTTATCGACCAACGATTTAGCGTTTCAAAGCCTATATATGACAAATGTTGTGGTCCTTCATCATGCTAAAATAACCATTGTGTTAATATTTTCAGTAATATTAGCCAATATTTCTTTTCAATAATCTCTTGCTAGTATTTAACACTTGCATGCAAACACCATACACACAATGTTCAGGACAACTTAACGGGAACGTTTTGAAGCAATTTTCGGTTCTTTTATTGCGTTCATTTGCACTATTTTAGAGCTCATTTCTTTTCCTCTTTATTTTCATTTTCAGCAATCGTGCACTATTCCACTTGAATTACACCTCCCGAATACATTTTTGAACAGCTAACCAAAATTAAAACTAGTGAAATATATTTGGCAATAATAAAGTGTTTTTTTTTCAAGAAACGAATGGAGCGATTATCATATCCTTACGGTGACTGTGTGAAAGATGGAAAGACTGAAGATTTTATATATAAAGATAAAAATTATACAACTGAGGTTAGTAAGGTTGTATGAGCTGAATCAATCTGGTACCGATTCTCATAAAGCAGCGCTTTGCCTCATCACATTGAAGTTTTCGCTACACCCATTATGTGTTCCCCTAATTTCGGTTATTTTGATCAGTTCATTTAAACAAATAGCTCGATATTATCGCTCGAAAGATTTCCACATTATCAGCTCTTCCTTAATATTCAAATCTTCCTGAAAAAATTACTTTGCGTTTCACTTACAAGGATCAACTGTATAGACTGATTATGATGTGTGTTTTTGAAATTAAAACATTGTCGGAAGATGGATTGCTTTCCGTGAGAAACAGCTCTAACAATATATCCTTTTAAATGTATTGATCTTAATGACGTGGCCACTCAACGCCATCTTCTTTCTAGACTTTTGTTAATCCGATTGTACTCACGACATCTGGTTGTCGTATTTATTTTTCAGATGAAATATTTGTTCATATTTCGTGGGTTTCAGGGATGTCAGAGAAGTTGCATTCAAAAATACTTAGTTTCGAAGTGTGGATGTGGGGACCCTCGTTTTCCGCAATTTCGCAGTATTAAGAATTGTCCAGTCGACAACCCGGACCTAAGTATAATTGTTCATTCTTTTCACTGTCTGTCATTAATTTTTAACTTTGCAATTGTTTGTCCTCTCAATGAATGTTTTGGTATGTCCCGATGCTTGTTCTTGATGGTACTGTGCAAAATGATGATGCGTCCAATCTTTAAATAACAGTTGCTCGTCTGAAGTGGCTGGTACAACCAATTCAAAATTCAAGTATACATGAATGAGTACAGCATACTCATTCTTGTTAGGTAAGATTTTATTGAAGAGCATTCACGTGGCCATCAACATAGAACATTTGAGAAGGATTCGTTGCATTTATTTTTAAGGACGACTGTATCCGAATCTGTTCATATGTTGGTATAATTTTAACGATCGGTAAAAAGAAGTAGGCATAAAATTATTTTTAAATTGTAGGAGATTGTTTGCACAAAGAAATCACTTATGCCGCCCGTTTTATTGACCAGATTGGGTGCGTCTGTCGGCAGCCTTGCAAGTTCGTTCATAACTTTTCATAAATTGTATCATGCTCATGGATAGGCAGCTCATCACTAAGAGAAGTTCGAATTTCATGCTGAAGGCAACGATTTTCGATGTGGCATATCTTATGCGTATTCTCCGACAATTTCCTTCGAAAACACGATCATTTTAAGAGAGACCATCTTACCCGGTACCATTGTTCCATTTAAAATGGTACTAGTTAAGATGGGTTGTATTTCTATGAAAAAAGCGGTTAACTAAAAAGCAGCCAATCACGTTAAAAACAATTCAATAAATCCACGGCCGCACCTCGAAACGCAACTGATTTCAGTCGGTCACATTGAAACCGCAGGAATTGTGTAGAACGCTTGAAACGCTCATTTTATGTGAAAAAGTTTTAGTGGCACCTAATGATAATTTAACGATGTTTACTGACCGATGACGAATGATACATTGCATTTCTTTGCTATGAAACTATGCATTTTGCATCATTTTTTGAGTTATTACGTTCTATGACGATTCATAGTGATAGCTCAAAAAGACAACGAATAATATATGCTCACTGAAACAACTGGATGGATCTTCGTAATGTTTGATTAAAGAGAAGTTGATTGTAATTTACTGCAGACAATTTGTGTATAGTGTGTCGTATTCGGCATCAAGATGGCCAGCCAGTACTGCCTCGCTAACAGATTGTTTACCTGGGTTGACACCTATGCAGTGCCTAAAATTTTATCGTGAACAAGGTGCACTTATCGAAGTTTTCTTTGAGCAGCTCAACTATGAATCGTTACTCGAAGGAGAAGCTTATGGAGTGAGTTGATTGAACTTCCTAACGAAATAAATTTCATTTTATTTTTGAAATGTGCTTTCCAGACGTTAGAAGATTTTCATCGATCAAACGCTGTATTGCGACCTATTGTTAGTGCCACTATCAAGATTGGAACAAAATTTCAGAAAAAAATCGGTTATGATTGCACTAAGCGCTGAAATATCGAATGACTCAAAACTTCTGATCTCAATATTTTGAAGATATGTCCATAAAAAATCAACTTGTTCGAAAACAATAATGGAATTAACATAATGCGCAACGTAATGCAAGAAACCGTAAATAAAATGAAATTAAGAATGAATTCAGTATTGTGGGCATTACAGATGGTTTACTCTCCCTTTACTTGTTATTGGCTGAATTCATATGATGCGATATTTACAGCTACCAAATTTGCTGTCGGATTTCGGCGGTCAGTTGGGTCTTTGGATGGGAGTTAGTGTTATAACGATCATGGAGTTCGGCATTCTAACAATAGATGTTATAATGACAATCATCTGCTGCAGAGGAAAGAACGACAAGAAGGAATCGAAACGAACATATTCATCTCGGAATGGCTCACAAAAGCGTTACCGTGCCAATGATAAAGTGAGAGCCAATTCAACTAAAAGGCTCACCTATCAATCATAGCAAAATCATATCCCCTCTCTGAACAGGCACGATTCTCTCTTCTCATCAGAATCTCAGCAGCTTATTTTGAATGCGCTAAACCGTTGTTGTTTGTGCCATCGTTATCACAATGCCGCCCTCTCATTAATTGCCTTTCGTTCAACAATTTCCTACGATCTGTCTATCATGCCTGTCTATCATTCTCATCAAAATTCTCTATTTCAAAAGGCTCATCCTGTATCAGAGTAAATGAAATAAACACCAACAATTCAGTAGATGTTCCAAATTTTCCCAACGAATCAATTCAAGAATTCGTTATAATATTTTTCTAGACGTGTAAAACTGATATTAATGTATTGCACTAATCATTATGATCGAATTGTCGTATCCATTCAACGAGTACATCACTATCATCCGGTACATTAGAAATACTAATTTCCAACTGTTAATGATGTCTGAATATTATCAGTTTTCAAACTCGCTGTAATTTATAGGTTGAAAAAAGAAGCCTCAGTGTATCCGGTATGAACTCGACCAGCAACGTTGATAGCTCAGCGGTGAGCGACATTAACAAGTGTCGAAGTCGGCATGAAGGCTCAGTTTGTGCATACACTTTTCGTACGTGCGAACTATCGGGTGGTGTTTACGGAATGGACACACAAAGAAGCATTCATTAGTAGCATACAGCGAGCGATGGTTTGAAGTCAAGCTTAGCAATCGAATTGCTTCTCTAAACTTTCATCCGATTTCAAGCCATCTGTGGGTTGAATGCCTCGCCGAATTGGAGCTGCGATATTCGACGGATATCACCTTTCATTATAAACCTCACATCCGTTGAGAGAACACAGTTGGGATTTTCTTGTCTGTTTGTGTTGATTGTTTGTGTTGATTCATGCTCACATTAATGAAATACATCGGTCTGTCACTTTCTTTGTCATCATGATATCGAGTGTGACTGAAAGTAAACGATATCAATAATTAACAACTGAATCGTTTCACGTTCAACCTCCCGAGTGTTTCTGCGAGGAGTTAGACCAAAGAGAGCAATTGTTTGACGTTAGTGATTCTCAATATGGACAGTCTCCACTACCAGTAGATGAGAACGGTACTCAGATGAGGCGAGGCGTCTCAAGATTATCGCCATGTATATCTCTCACTCTTGAATACTGATGCATTATTAAGGCGGTTGATTTGCTCGTGATCAAATTGTAGGATGAGCGACTGGCCAAAAAAAATCGAGAACTGCTTAAAAGCAAGATCTGCTGACTGAGAAATTATCAAAGAAGAAATTACTCTACTAAGAAAATTATCCCTAAGAACCAGTAAAAATTATTGGGAAATTATCTTTTGCAGAAGAAATTCTCATCCAAACATCAACTCACATTAACCGTACAAAATTTGCGATCTTCCTCATCTGATGCTGTGACTGGTAACTGTTAACAAAAACCACTGATGGCAGTTTCAGTTCAAAAATGAGTACTTCAAAGCAATCGTCAAATGTATAACCATAATGTAATCTGAACAGTCGGTAATACCTCTTCCTGTTCCTATCAAATCTATTTCGTTTGCTGAATTTAACTCTCAATCGTTATTATTGAAAAGAACTGCATCAGTATCTCTCGCAGTGAATAACAACACATAAATTCATCAAAACCATTAGAAAATATATGCATACGCAATTATGAATGATTTCGACTATTAGAAAATATATGCATAAGCAATTATTCCCCTTCGTTCGATCAATCTTATGTGATTCATTCAACCGCTACTATGTATTACAAGCAGCGATGCCTAATTTGAAAAGAACTGACCGGCTCCATTTCTGGCTCCAGCTCTGAAATTTTCTGTACTGCGCCCCAGCTTCGGAAAAAAACTATTGTACAGGTGATGAATCCGGCTACTGAATGTTGCTGTGATATTTTTTTGAAGGATCCAAAATTTTTTTTTTGGTTCCAGAACTTACGCATCACCCACCGATTACAATTATCCTTTAAAATTAATTCGCATTTGCCTACTTGGAAGCTCCGGCTACTGAATTTCTTGCGGTCTGCAAAAAGAATTTTATTAATCCTGGTCAGATGGTTAATCAGATGATTTTCCCGTTTGTGCGCATTCGACAATCGCGATTGAGTGTCTCAAAGAAATAGTCTTCAATTCGTGGTTTAAGTATATAATTCTAGATCCTGAATATTTGATGCTTTTGGTATTTTTCTCGCCAAAGTTTGATCGATTATTTTACAAAGAACTTCAAAAAGGATCAATTTCCAACGAATTACCGGTTTCCCACATGATATTCATGATGAAAACAATTAACTTCTCTGTCTCCAACTTTTTTTTTTCAAAAACATTTTGCAGTACAACAATCATCAGCTACACTGTTCAGTATTATATGACGCAGGATGTATGTTGAAGTTAAGTACATTTTGGAAAATCGTATAGGTATTACGATCGGTGCTCGCGAAGCCATGTGCACTGTTTGAATTACCTTCGAAAAGCAACTTCAACAACTGAAATGAATCATGCTATTATAGCTTTGTGCAACATTCCGAAAATCAAAGCAAG